CTTGCTCCGACATAGGGGAGCTGTGCCAGTGTGAATATCAATGAAATCTATAAAGCTCTCAAAAACCTTTCCATCTTTTGAAACCTCAACCATACTTTGACACTTGAGACATTTTGTTCCAGTCAGGAGATGTCTGGAGTGCACTCAAACACAATGCAGAAATATTTAGCTTTCCTAACCTGGTCAAAAATAGTCTGCTGTATTTTTCTTGCAATCCTACTGATAAATTCACTTTGAATTCAGGTTGATAAGTATGTCACCTTTATTGTGTCAGCCCTAATAGCTTCCACATGATCTCACAACACAATATCATACCTTGCAAGCAAGTCAAGTAACCCCACAATGCCACCGTCCCAAAATCATCATTACAAGGACTGTCTAATTTCTTCTCTGAATCTCTCACTTAAGTATAGCAAAATATCCAGGAGATGATGCAAAAATATTGTACCATAGTATCTGACAGCAGGTTTGCATATCTGTGTCAATTGTGCAATCCCTTTCCAGCTATTCTTCAAGTTCCATCCAGTAAGCGATTGCCTCCCCATGTTCTTTCGAATGTTTTGTTGGCATTCTTACTCGCTAAACTAGAAAAAGTTTGTGAACCCAACTTTATGGCTTGCAAAAGAAGATGAGGAATTTGGCTGGAAAAGCAAATAAGCAAAACAGAACAATGAGGCAAGAGGCAAACTGTTGATCCACTCGTGCTAGCTCATCTCGAGCTACTGCACTAAAAATCTCAATGTGGACATGGTGGCACTGTCTTGGACTAGCTGCCGAAGTCCAACGCCGCCCAATCCCCTTGGTCTGAGCTCAGGTGGCTAACCCGAGCCATCACTAGTGCTGCAATGTCCACAGTGTTAGTTTGAAGGCTTTTCTACACTGGCAATTTACAGCGCTGCAACTTTCTTGCTCAGGGGTGTGAAAAAACACCCCCCTGAGCGCAGCAAGTTTCAGCGCTGTAAAGTGCCAGTGTAGACAGTGCACCAGCGTTGGGAGTTGTGCTCCCAGCACTGGTAGCTATGCCCCTCGTGGAGGTGGTTTTTTTAGAGTGCTGGGACTGTGCTGCGACTAGGGTGACCAGACAGCAAGTGTGAAAAATTGGGACGGGGGTGGGGGGTAAAAGGAGCCTATGTAAGAAAAAGACCCAAAAATCGGGACTGTCCCTATAAAATCGGGACATCTGGTCACCCTAGCTGCGACCACACAAGGCACGTTAAAGCACTGCCGCGGCAGCGCCGCTTTAGCGCTGTCAGTGTAGACTAGCCCTCAGTCTGCTAGCTTGAGCTGAGCTACTGTGAGTCTGCCTAGCTGTGCTTGGAATCACACCTTCCAGCTGCAGTGTAGACAGTCATATCTTAAACAAGGCCTGACAATACCATTTGGAGCACTAAACAGGGGCCTGAATACAACCAACATTGCTGGCATAACTCCCCATTAGGGAGTAAATTTACATTTACATTAGGGAGTAAATTTACATTGCAATTTACATTACATTAAATTTACATTACATTAGAGAGTAAATTTACATTGCTGGCATAACTTCCCATTAGAGTAAATTTACATTTACTTCAGTGTAAATTGTTGTGATAGGAGGATCTGCCCCTCTCTGTGTATCCCTCCCCGAGAATGTAGGCACTGTGTGTGAATATTTGTATTAAGCTATATACCTTGTTGTAATTGATTCACTGTATATTATTTTACTAAAATACATTCTTCCTGTTTTTTAAACTTTGTATGTTCTGTGTTAAATATTCACACACAGTGCATACATGATCACAGAGTATACATGAATACTCATACAGTGTGTCGAGTAACATACAAAGAGTACAAAGTTACACACTATATGTATGTATAGGTTAACACAGAGAATGTGTTGGTTTAAAGCAAAATGAGAACGTAGAGTAAAATAACACTAAATTTATAGGTTAACACAAATATTCACACAGTCCTTACTAATAAACAAATTAATCACAGAGAGGGGTGATTCTTCTCCTGGGTTACATTGCTTTCCACTGTTTGTGCGTAAATCTGTGCCCTGGGTGGGTGACTCTATATGCTCTGTGTGAGTATTAATATATATCCTGTGTTGTGATAATTTATGCATTGTGTGTGAATATTTACATTAGAGTGTCTATGTTTGTGTGTGCATGTAGTGTATTAGCTATATACATTCTGTCTATTGTGAATTCTGTGCATGGCTGTTTCAAGCAGAGGAAGGCTGATGCAATGGTTGGGGCACTAGCTTGGGATACTTGGGTTCAATTCCCTGCTGTGCCAGAGACTTCCTATGTGACCTTGGGCAAGTTGTTTAGTCTCTCTGTACCGCAGTTCCCCATCTGTAAAGCAGGGATAATAGTACTTACCCACCTCACAGAGGTGTTGTAAGGATAAATACATTAACAAGATTGTGAGGTGCTCAGAAACTATGTTTAATAGGTGCAAATAAGTACTTCAGCTATTTAAACACATCTGGGCGCCCTGCATATTCCCTCAATTGGGTTGCCCTGTATAATTATTTGTCCCACTCCTGCTTATTACTGAAATTGGATACTATTGTTTCATTTACTTTATAAAAGTACATACAACTTATATTAATGAGGATAGGTTGACTGGGAGTACCGAGAAAGCTGACTGAGGTGGAGGGATTGGTTGGCTGTGGGGAATGTGAGGACATGAAAATAAAGAAGCAGTCACCTGCTGAAAGGACCCCATAGAAGATCCAAGTTGGGGACAGAAGAAGTGATAAGGAGAAGAAGGGGGCCCTGGAAGAAGACCTAGTCAGAGGCAATATGAAGTTGCCTGAAGGGGGCCAATGGTCCTGCTCAGCGAAAGGAGCTGTACTTGATGACTTCTCAAGTTCCTTTTCAGCCCTACATTTCTATGATGAAGCCCTCAGTTAAAAGCAGCATGAAGTGGCTAGGAGGATGTGGACCTGGAAGAACCCACAGTATGGAACAGCATAAGTGGACAGGGGGATGACCTCAATCGGGGCAGCTGGTGAGGCAACTGGTAGCCAACAAGGAAAGCATAGTTGTCCCTCTCTACTGCCCATCAACTCAAATGTAAAATATCTTCCTTCCCCACCACCACTTGCTCCCATGTGTCTCATTCAGCTGTCAGGAGATTTCCTCAGTGCCAGACAGTTTTAATCTGCACAGGGCCAGAGCCTAGGAGGTAAGCAATCTTCAGCTCCATAATTTAAAGCACAGCCCAAGCTCAGTTTACTTACCCACTCACTCTACATGATGCCTGCAAGAGGAGTGAATAAGCCAGCACAGAACTCTAGCACCATGTCTGCCTGTGGGGGCCTCCTGCAACCACAGGTTCTGCAGCCTCTCAGAACTGGCCCAGACTTTCCATGATGATATGTACACTCTATTGTTTTTCCACACTCCTTTGTATCTGATAGGTCTAGATACTTATATGTTCCCCATTGTTGTAGCATCTGAGCGGCTCAGATTTATTAATGAATGTATCTTCACAACACCTAAGAGATAGGGAAGTATTACCATCCCCATTTTACAATGGAGAACTGGGAGATTAAGTACTTTGCCCAAGATCACACAGGGAGTCTGACAAAAGCAGGCGTTGTACTCAGAGCTCCTGTACCTGAAATACAAGGCCTCTCTCACTGCAGGTTTATCACTTGTTTCATGTGCTATATACTCAGTGCTGGGTACCTTTGTTATACACTTTGTGTTGAAGTAGAGCACTACTCTCTCTGGCTAGGTCTATACTACCCGCCTGAATCGGCGGGTAGAAATCGACCTCTCGGGGATCGATTTATCGCGTCCCGTCGGGACGCGACAATCGATCCCCGAATCGGCGCTCTTACTCCACCAGCGGAGGTGGTAGTAAGCGCCGCCGACAGAAAGCCGCAGAAGTCGATTTTGCCGCCGTCCTCACAACGGGGTAAGTCGGCTGCGATACGTCGAATTCAGCTACGCTATTCATGTAGCTGAATTTGCGTATCTTAAATCGACTCCCCCCTGTAGTGTAGATGTACCCTAAGTGTTATGCATTGATAGCTGTGCACACAGCATGTGTGTTGTGGTTAGCTTGCCTCTGCAATGTTGTCAGCTCTGGTGATTTGATTGTCTCACGTGTTTTTGGTTTTTTTTTCTCTTCAAGTCCCTGCTGTTGAAACGAAGAGACTGCATGATTATATTTATTATTTGTATTATCATAGCACCTAGGAACCCCAGTCGTGGACCAGGTCCCCAGTGTGCTAGGTGCTGTACAAATATAGAACAAAAAGACAGAGAATCTCAGCTCTCATTTCTTTTTAAATAAAAAGTTTCTAGCCCTCATGGTTGTGTAGACAAGCTTGAAAAGATGACCTAAGTGCATCCTATTAGCTCGGAAACCAAAAGCCAAAGAACCCCTCCAACTTATAATTAAAACACCCCATGATTTTAAGCCAATCTCATGATTATGGGTAGATTTACAATATTTGACTCATGGTTCTTGAATGCTTGGAGATGGCAATACTGCTTATGTATGTGTGTGTGTGTGTGTGTTGTGCATTCTTCTATATGTGTTACATACTGTACATGTGTTGTGGTAGGTACTCTGTGTGTTGTGAAGTGCTGTGTTACACACTGTGTTGGGCACTCCTCTCACTGGCTGTCGTGTGTATGGTGGTGGGTAGTGCTGCTGTGTGAAACACTGCATGTTGTACACTCCTCTCTGGATGGTATGCAGTGTATATGGATGTGTTGTGTTACACACTGTGTTGTGCTCTACTCACTGGTGGTGGTGCTTTGTGTTACACACTGTGCTGTGCATTCCTTCCTGGCTGCAACACAGTGTATATGGTGTGTGTTGTGTGGTGCTGTGTGTTACACACCGAGTTGTGATCTCCCCCCTGGCTGTAACTTGATGTGTATGTGTGTTGTGTGCTGCTGCTGTGTATCACACACCGTGCTGTGCACTCCTCCCTGGCTCTCGCTCCGCGTGCTGTGCTTTCTCTCAGGCCTGGCTCAGACTCTTCCAGGCCGGACCAGCAGCCTCCCGAGCGAGTGCCAGCAGGGCGGCGATTCCTGCGTCTCTCCGGGCTAGGGGCGTTTCTGCGGCCGCCGCCCCAACTTGCTCTATTAACCGGCGGAGGGGGCGGGCTCGGCGGCTCCCCCCACTCGTCCGGCCACTCCCGCTCGGCGCGTGAGTCAGGCATTTCCCGGGAACTCGCAGCAGCCGCAGCCGGGCGGGCTCGGACCCTGCCCCGCGGGCTCCATGGAGAAGGTGGTGGCGGCGGCGGCGGCGCAGGGCGGCAGCAACGGGGATGGAGGCAGCAACAGCAGCAGCCGGAGCAGCAGCCGCCCCACGTCGGCGGGCTCGTCTCCCTCCTCCATGGGCCGCGGGCTGCCGGGCCGGCCAGCGGCAGGCAGGCTGGAAGGCGGCGGAGGAGGGAGCAGCAGTAGCCCGGGCTCGGCAGCTGCGAGCCCGGGAGGAAGCGGAGGGCGGCCGGCGCTGGGAAGCGGCCGCAGGAGGGAGCCGGCGCTGGAGGGAGCGCTCAGCAAATACACCAACCTCCTGCAGGGCTGGCAGAGCAGGTAACCCCCGGCCCCGAGGTGGGAGCTGCCCCCCGCATGGGCGCACACAGCCGCGGGGCGCCCTCTCAGCGTGGGTACCCCGGCACTCTCTGAGGCAGGAGCTCCTTATCTGAGACCTCCGCTGACCAGCCCCCCGAGACACCCCATTCCCCGGCTCGCCCAGACCTCGGACGCGCCGGTCCCCCAGAGATGCTGCTCTGCGGAGCTGGCCGAGGGACCCCTGGCCCGTTAGGCCGGTGGCGTGGTGTGTATGTGCAGCTCAGCCACTTGCCCTGGGGCAGATCCGTCTTTCATTCTTCTACATGGGTGATGGGGTCTCCTTAGTATTTTCATTGTCAAAGATTTTATGGGCAAAGGGAAGCCGAGGGGATCATGTGCCTGGGCTGGTACATCTTCATGGTGGCAGTTTTGGAAGCGGGGTCTGATAGGTAGCCTGGTGTTTGAACGTATAATGCAAATATGTTTATGATAGGTGTGTGTTTAGGGAGTTAGAGCAGTCGTTCTCAAACTTTTGTACCGGTGACCCCTTTCACATAGCAAGCCTTTGACTGCGACCTCCCTTATAAATTAAAAACACGTTTTTATATATTTAACACCATTATAAATGCTGGAGGCAAAGCCGGGTTTGGGGTGGAGGCTGACAGCTCGTGACCCTCCATGTAAGTACCTCATGACTCCCTGAGGGGTCCTGACCCCCAATTTGAGATCCCAGAGTTAGAGGGATGGAAGAAATAACTTTCTGTGAACAGTGCACTTGACATGTTTCTAGTTCATCCTCCCTCCTCCCAACCTTGTTCTGTAGGAATACTAGGAAATAGATCGAAACTATATACTGTAATGTATTACTTTTGACTTCCTTGTTCTGGAAAACTTAAAAAAAAATAACTATGGAATAAAATATCCTGCCTCAGTTAAGAAACTAGCACTAAGAAGTAAATAGAAAAATAGTATTTTCTGTGGTGATCATTTTATTGTAGGGGGGACTGAGACAATTCATAAGAAAAAATAAAGTTTTAATTTCATTATGTCCTGATTTGACAAGTCTAATTTATTTTCGTGATGGACACAGAGACCAAGGTCCTAATCCTGCAGTTTCTTGGGTATGGACAGACTGCTATGCAGGCAAGGAACTTCACTGACTACAATGGGAATCTGCTCATACCCATCACAGTACAGGATCAGGGCCTAAAGTGTTATTACAGCTGGGATTGTGCTAATAGTGCTGTACTGGGGTCTACTGTAATGGAATTGGGCAGAGAGGATTTAATATTATTTATTATTCTTTCACTTCTGGTTATAAAACTTCATTCTCTTTCCCTTTTATTTTAAATAGCTAGATTTTTGTACTTATGAAAGGTAGTAGATTGGCAGCTGTGGAGAGTGAGGACCTCTACCTATAGAACAGGGTAAACTTCCACACAGGACCTTTTCTGTATCAGGCAAAAAATTTCTACTGTTGCTGACATCAGGGTGCCTAGCCAGTGGTAACAGTTGGAAGAAATAGTGCTGTTAATGTTCAGCAGACCGTGGTGTTTTAACACTGTGTCATTTAGATATGCTGTAAACAGTGTTAAATGATGAAGTAGTAAAAATGCTAGTGTCCATGAGAGCATTATCACTGCTGGAGCTACCAAAGTTACTGTCACTTATGGAGCTGAATGAGAAGTGGAAGTGGTGGAAAACTCCCCTCCTCCTCTCCCCTCCGAAACTGCTACTGTAGACCTAGTTATAGCATTCCTCATCCCCAGGCTGGAAGGTGTGCACAGGATATTACCATACTACAGAGTGAGCATCATGTTGTTTCTTGTGATTTCATTAAATTTTGTGAAATCTTTGATTACACATATTTTACAGACAGGCATGTCTATAAAATGTTAATATTCAAAAAAATCGGACAAGTACGTTGATTTTTTTTTGAGGGTGAATATACTTTGAATATTGAATAAAAGGTAACCAAATATCTAAGTATCTATTTGTCCTCTATTTTGCCGGGTACATACTTGGTGTGTTAATTTTTTCATAATCGCAACCTCCCAGATTTTTTTTAATCATTTCTCTACAGTTGGACTATTTTTCTTTTTCCTGTGAGAAGCTAGCAATAGCCGAACAGCTACAAACAATTGAGCGATTAATTCCTCGTTTCCCTTTGTGTTATCATTTCCAGTAGGAAGCCCCAGGAGGATTACCAGTGGATCATTTGGTAATATCTATATCCAACAATTTGTGATATTTGGTTATGGATTGCATCCCAATACTCTCTGATTAGCCATGTCCACTATATATGCATAAAACCACCTCTTTCACTATAGTTTCTCCAACATTTATCACCATTCAATCTGTATATTTTTTTTAATCTGACTAGTGTGAGATTGAAACAGTATTTTACATAAATGTTCTTTTATTGTGCCTACAGACTGAGATTGCTGGTCCTCTTTTCTGGATCAAACCCTCATTTCTCTTGGGTAATTTGTATATCCAGGTCCTTTTCCAGGCATGTCACTTATGGATATTCTTTTGTTAGGAAAGTTGTCTGAAAAGATTGATCTAAATTAGTTATATTTTTTTTGTTTCCTGAATGAACAGATACCATCATTTCTATTGAAATTAGCATTCTGTATAAAATATTTTTCTAGAAAATTGAGAAACATAATGGCTAACTTGACAGTACTAGTACCACAGGAGAGTGGGCCAGTTAAAGTTAGATTTTTTTTTATCTCTAAATGAGTTAAACATTTAAAAGTCTCTGGTTTATGATTTGGGTTAAGATCTGGATTATTTGCAATAGGTGTCATTGGCAAAGGTCTCTAGTTCTATCCCAAGCCCATAGAGCAGCCTTTGGTAAAGGATATGTATAAATTTCTGGAGGGCATAACTTTGAAAATTAATCCATGATTGCTTAGTGATGTTTACACTGCCACAACATTCTTGTTCAATAAAGACCCAGTGTTTGCCTGTGTTTCCCCAATCCACTACTGCTTTCTGGCTTGGTTCCCTTGTTATAACTGCCAATAAATATGCTATCTGTAGTGTGTGTGTGTTGGGGACACCAATCCTGGAACAACTGGATTGGTTTCATCAACTCATTTGGTAGGCCACTGACCTTCCATCAGGTGGTAACAGCTCAGTTGCTACTGTCATATGTTGGATTTGGTCAGGACTCTTGGAGGTGAAAGGTCTGTCTTCTTACCTATCTCTTGAATTATGCAGTCCCCTACTTGGTGAAAATCTTCCTCTTTAAAAAAATAAATAAATCTTTTTGATAGCATAACTCTGAAAATTAAAGGCTGCTTTTGTATCTGACCCCTTTTTGTAAAAGTAATGAGTAATTTCTTAGATCTCAGCTGGGCAATGGCATGTATGGGTGGATCCTTGTCCAATTAAATGGGACTCTTCTTTGATCTAAGAGTCTGATGTCACAGATATGATTGCAGAATAGAGACCTCTGATGGTAAATTTTTTGGGGCATGGATTGTATCTTCATGTGTTTGGACAGTACCTAGCACAATCAGATCCTGATTAGGCCTCTGGGCATTGTGGCAATTTAACTGTTAGATGGTAATTATAGGAGTCAATTTCCAAATGTACAAGACATCCATTAACAAGAAACACAGAGACATAATTTTAATTTATAATGCTTACCTTGTCTGAAAACATCAGGAGAAACTATACAATTTAAAATATGCTTGTTTAAATAATTCTGTTTTAATAGATTAAATGACATTGCAACTTGTAGCAGTCATGTATCTTTTTTCATGCTGTGTTAGTACACTTTTTCAGTCACTATACTATGTTTATATTTTATGTAATCTATTTTTGCTCAAGAGGTTTATAATGTCAGTAGAGCGGTTCTGTTGAATTACAGTTGGGTTATTCAATCAGGGACCACAAACTATACTGAATCTAAAAGGATTTGTTTGGGGTGGAGGATTTTCTAGAAATCAGAATTTAAAATAAATACAATACCAACAAAAAGCAAAACTTATCAAGTAGCTCTTTTTATAACACCCCAAACTCAACTATCAGAGGGGTAGCCATGTTAGTCTGGATCTGTAAAAGCAGCAAAGAGTCCTGTGGCACCTTATAGACTAACAGACGTATTGGAGCATGAGCTTTCGTGGGTGAATACCCACTTTGTCGGATGTATGTGCATGCGTATTCACCCACGAAAGCTCATGCTCCAATACGTCTGTTAGTCTATAAGGTGCCACAGGACTCTTTGCTACCCCAAACTCAGTTTATAGTTCAGTATCAAGCAACTGTTTACATGTTTATTTGACCTTTGAATATTTGTCATTTGGTCAGTACCATTTGTGGACTGGGGCCCTAAAGAGACAGTTTACTAAAACTGTTTACCACTTGCATCTGAAGAACAGAGGTTCTTACCCACGAAAGCTTATGCTCCCAATACTTCTGTTAGTCTTAAGGGTGCCACAGGACCCTCTGTCGCTTTTTACCAAAACTGTTACTCAGTTTAAAAAGTCTAATAATTTTAAAGGTGCCTACTCCAAATCCTGTGATCAGATATCAGTAGCCTTTATGTCAATTGGCCTTATCCACTAACTTATATAATCCTAACACATTTAATGTTAAGGTCTACCATATTATGCTCAAGTTGAAAAGCCTCTAGAATGCCCAACACCTATTTTTTGAATGCCAGGATTATCTTTTAAAATCTAAATGAAACTGGAATTCCTTTAGGAATGCAGTTACTGTGAATCACATTTTCACTGATATTCTCTTTACAGATATACCACAGGCATTGCTATTTTAAAAAGGTACCCAACACAACTTATTGTTTTCTCTCTTTCAGTTGGTGTACTATATATAGATTCATTAAAAAAAATCTTAACTTCCATTAGCTGAAACAATTGCAGGTCTGAAGATGAATTGGTCCTCTTTGTGAAGTTACTTCATTTGGCATCCTGTTAAGTGAATCCTTTGAGAGTGTACTGACTTGTATTTAAAAAAATGATTCTCTTCACTGTGGTCTAGTAGCCTCA